CCATCCTGGCTAACACGGTGAAACCCCGTCTCCAGTAAAAAATACAAAAAACTAGCCGGGCGAGGTGGCAGGCACCTGTAGTCCCAGCTACTCGGGAGGCTGAGACAGGAGAATGGCGTAAACTGGGGAGGCGGAGCTTGCAGTGAGCTGAGATCTGGCCACTGCCCTCCAGCCTGGGTGACGGAACGAGACTCTGTCTCAAAAAAAAAAATTCATGTTTAGGTAAGAAAAGAAAAAAACAATAAACAACAAAAATCTCCATAGAGTTTTATAAGGATTAAGAGGGACAGGCCAGTGCGGTGGCTCACACTTGTAATCCCAGCACTTTGGGAGGCTGAGGCGGGCAGATCACGAGGTCAAGAGTTTGAGACTAGCCTGGCCAACACAGTGAAACCCCGTCTCTTCTAAAAATACAAATATTAGCTGGGTGTGGTGGCAGGCGCCTGTAATCCCAGCTACTCAGGAGGCTGAGTCAGGAGAATCGCTTGAACCTAGGAGGCGGAGGTTGTAGTGAGCCGAGATTGTGCCACTGCACTCCAGCCTGGGTGATAGAGCTAGACTGTCTCAAAAGCAAACAAACAAACAACAACAACAAAACCAAGAGGAATAATGCTTGTAACACAGCATAGCATCTGGCATATATGTGCTTAATGAATGATACTTCAAAAAACAAAAACAAAAAGCTCACTATTGTTGAAGTTTCTGCCACCATACTATGGTTTCTTAGGTGTTTAATTTCCCTGGAAAGAATACAAGAGGTGTCGTGCTCTTTTTGCAGAGAGAATGTGATGCTTCCCATCCTCTAGACTGTGGATGTGGAAAAGTAGCCCTCCAGTTTTTTTCTGAAAGGAATGGAGTGGGGCTGGACGGTTCGTGCCCATTTATGTGTTAGAGTAATAAACAGGAATTAAGAACAAACTTGAGTGTGTGCTGGCCTGATTGGGAAGTTGGCTGTAAACTCTCCACAGATCCCCACCCTCCTCACAGGCGGGTCCACCAGAGTCATAGTGAGATCAAACAACACTTAGGCTTTGTGTTGTTTCAATGTGTTTCCATGTGTTCCAGTTGTGGATCGTGGAAGGACAATATCCTTTCACTCTGTGGTTGGGGTGGACTTAAGGAGATGTTTGAAGTCTTTCTAGCTTGTCTCAGTCTACCTTGGAGAACCAGATACATTAAAAAACTTCTTCCCTAAGATGCGGAATCTTTTCCAATAACTGGGTTCTCCTTTTTCTTCAGAGCCAGAGGGTCCCCGAGAGGACCTTCTTTGTTAGGTGGGAAAATGGTGGGCTTTGGCCTCTAAAACATGCTTTGAGTCCACTTTTCAAGCATTTCATAGTAGTGTAACCTTGGTCAGGTTGCTTAACCTCTCTGAGCTTTAATGTCCTGCTCTGGAAATTGGGAGTGTTGGTACTTACCTTTCCAGGATGCCATGAGGATCATATGAGAGCGCACGTCTGGGAAGGATTGTCAGACAGAAAAGCACTGAATGGGTGATAGCTACTTCTGAAGAGGCCTTTGAAGATTTAACAAGACCTTCAGGACTGCTTCATTGCTTATTCCTTTCTCTTTGTTATATGTGTGTCTGTCATTTAGGGGAAAACCCCATGAAACTTATTTAGGGTGGAGGAGAGGGACAGCGTGGGGAGGTGGAAAGAACGTGATCTTTGAATTAAATTCTGTATCTGCCGCTAACTGTGTGATCTTGGTCACATTCCTTAACTGTTCCAAGTATCAGTGGGTTTATCTGTAAAATGGGGAGAAAAGTATTCATGTCATAGATTTGGTGGAGATTAAAGGAGCTAATGCTCACAAAGTACTTAGCATGGGGTTCGGCAGCGTTACTTTCCTCTTTTCTTGGATCTGATAGAGCACAGAGAGGATAAGCCCCTGGGGGAGAAGTAAGAGGGAGTGGATTAAGTAGGCTCTGGCCCCACCTATCGTGGTCTGGATCTCAGCTCTGCCCATTACCAGTGGTATAATTTTGGAAAAGTTAATTACTCTAAAGCCCAGTTTTCTCTAAAAAGAGAATATTACCTGTTGGTTTTTATGGATATAAAATGAGAAAGGGTATGGGTGCACCTAGCACAGTGCCTGACATCTAGTAGATATGTTCAGCAAATTTTAGTTCTCATCATCCTTCTGTCCCCCAATGTACTTGTGAATAAGCAGACCACAAAGTTTATTTTATAGAATGTGGTGTAGACATACTCTTGACATTGGGATAAATTATGTTTCAGAGAATAGAAGTTTGGGGAAATGAGAGATTGTCCACCTCTATGTGACTGGTGAGTGTGCCCACTACACCCTGCAGGTTATATGGTTAAGTCGCTTTCTTGGGAGAGTACTCTTGATGAAACTTACTTTTTGGCCTGGTTCCAGCAGGTCACCCTTGGTTATTTGCTGAGAGCATGAATCACAGCTTGGTCATAGAGTCATTTGCAAGGTGCACATGAAGTCACAGGACCAGGGTTTTCAGAATGTGGTTTTCTCTGTCAGATTCCATTGTATCTTCTCTAGCTTCTTGATCGTTGGAGAAAAAGATTGGCCCTTGGGTTTTCAGGCCACTTTGACTGATCAAGCCAGAGCCTGGTAAATGATAAACCCCACATTTTTGTCTAATTTGCAGTTGTCTATATTTTTCTTGGTCTGTTTGCTCAGTTGGCAGAGAGTCATGTTCAGAGGAAACAGACCTGCCTTTGGAGACAGAAACATTAGGGGTTTATTGTTGTATATTCGTTTATTCATCAAACTTTTTGAGCGCTTACTGTCATCAAGACAGCGTGTTAGGTGCTGGGGATCCAATGTTCTGTGTGACAGGATTCTCGCCCTCTGGTGTTTCCTTATCTGGTAAGGGTGGTAGAAATTTTTAAAACATTGTTATGTGGTAAGAAAAGTGTCAGGAAGTTACCATGGGAGCACAGAAGAGGAAGCATTAATTTCTGCCTGGAGAGAGGAAGGTGAGGGGAGATTTCCCTGGTTCTTAACTAGACGTGTCATCAGAATCACCTGGGGAGTTTTTTGACATACACATACCTGATTCTTAGGGACTGGAATGGCTCAGACTTTCAGATTTTTAGGAAGTTCTTCCAGATGATTCTGTCGCCTACTGCAGCTATGCACCACTGCAAAGTGATGGGGAACCTCTGAGGATTTAAACAAGGAAGTGATGGGCTCAGAGTGTGTTTTAGAAAATTCACTCTGATGGCAGTTTGTGGAGGGTGAGAAAGACCTGAAGTGGAAAGACAGGCAAGTCGGCTGGTGGAGCCTAGGGGAAAAAGGATGAGAGCTTTGACCTGAATCTGTGATCCTGAGCAGCAGTGTAGCCTATCATTTGGGAAGCTTTTGGCTAACGGTGGCTTAAGCAATAAAGATACATAATTATTTTGCACATGAAGAAGTTCGGAGTTAGGGATGGTGCCGTTTAGAGGTCGGCTTGGGGTTCTAGGTCAGCATCGCTATGATCCTCTTGGCTTTTCTCTAAGGATTGTGAGAGAGAGAGAATCTGTTCTGATTATCTATTGTTATATCACAACATAGCCCCAAGATTTAGTGGTATAAAACCACCCTTTGGTTTGCTGACAGATTCTGTGGATTAGGAATTCAAACAGGGCAAAGTGGGTGTGGATTATCTCTGCTCTACAATTTCTGGGGCCTTTATTGGGAAGACTTGAACAACTGCAGGCTAGAATCTTGTAGAGGCTTTTTAAATTTTACTGTCTGGTGCCTTTACTGGGGTGGCTCAAGGGAAAAGCTCAGCAGAGACTGTCAATCAGAGCACCTACACTTGCCTTCTCTCTGTGGCTTGGGCTTCTCATAGCTGGCCCACTTAGGGCTTATTGAACTT